CATATTGTAAAAAGATATTAAGAAGGCACAGCAGTTTTATTCTACCATCAGTGCTATGCACTCTTCTTCATAAGAAAAGGTTAGCAACCAAGTCACGCAATGAGTATGCCAAACAGGACTTCAGTAAAGGTTATCTAAATGCTTGGCATGATTTGACGCACAAAAATTGGACAAACACCAGTTATTCCTCGTAAGCCACATACATACCTCTTGGGCTTTCAAATAAAAGCATTCTAATCAGTTGTCAAGACAGGAACCAGTGCAGGAAATTACCTCTGTAATGTATAGGACTTGAGACAAATTGTTTCCCACAGTCCTTGCTCTCTGCAAAATGTCTGGACAGTAGATTGCAAGACTGATCCTCTCACCTTGTCTTCCAGATATTCCAGCACTTTTCTACCAATCCTGCCTGACTCTTCAGGCATACAGTTGTAGAGCGGCAGCTGAGTACAGAATGTTTCGGCATCCTTGGAACAGGGAAAAGAGTGTTGTGAACCATATGAGTCAAAGGCAGGTGCTCGAGGACCTGGTTTCTTCTTCATCCTTTTGGAAAGAAGAGGAAAAAACATTTTCTGCTTCTGAATTGGTTGGCTTTTGAAAATTAATAAACCTGATGTTATCCACTCAGCTGCTGGTTGACCTGTTTTTATTGTACTCTGATGTGCAGTAAAATGAAAAAAGGTGATACTGTGAAGGAAAACTCAAAGCCTTATTTGAATGTATAACCAAGTTTGTTTACTTTGAAATAACAATAACAATGTAATGAATGTCTGCTGCAGTGTTAAGTACATCCTTGTCAAAATTTGATTTATGTGATTGTTTCTGGATGTTAACTCAACCATTGTTAACATAACCTCTGTCATTTTTATATTCATACTGCCTGTGGGCATGCACTAGTGCAGCACTGCAAAAGAAATATGAAAGAAAACGGGTAGCAGTTCCTAGTGCAGGAAACCTATTTCCCTGAAATAACAGATTTTGGGGTATAGTGTGCCACAGACCGTGTTAAGGTGAGCAGATCTGTGTAACTGGAGGAACTTTGTTAGGAGAGAGAAAGCAACCATTGATTCCTATAGCTTATTAACCTCTTGAGGGCCACGTGCTGTATCCAGACATCATCCGTGGCCTGATAGTATGTATACATCTATCAAATCACCTAAAGAAAAATGCAACCACTTTTGCTGCCTGCTAAAACAGAAGATACGCTGTGAGCTCAGGCTGCCTTGTGTGTCTAGAGGTAGAAATTAAGCTTTGTGAGGAATGCTTACACAGATGCTTCTGTAAATGTGTATTTAATTCATACAATATGTGTATGTATTTCATACAATAAATGCGTTCAGTATACAAAGAAGGGTTTCTCCAACCACTGTGCTAGGCAGTAACTCTGCAGGATATGAGAATGGTCATCTTTGAAAAGATGAAGATCATGCTTTTTTTAGGTAAACAAAAAATTCAGAAGTTGCCATGATGATTAAAGATAAACACAGTTCTCAAGGGAAATTTTATGGCTGTAAGCAAAAGACATTTTTGTTTGTCTTTCATGTTCATTTCAAAATTGAACATAATTACTAAGTCTTCCCATTTGAGCCTTGCAGCTTGTGTTCTTTAACTAGATAATACAGCATAAGTTTTAGTACCCATAATTCCATAGCACAAGTTCAAGTGATATCTGCAATGATATTTTTATTCATTTACTTGTAATACAATTTAACTTAATCAGAAGTAGCTATCAATAACTCTTTATGTTTCAAAGTCACTGTATGACTTACATAAGGTGTTGTCACTGAAGTTTTGTATTTACAATTGAAATTGAAATTTACAGTTGTCAGTAAGGAAGTGGTGTGTTCAGTGTATTACTATAAGTCATTCACGTAAACCCTGAATTTCATCTTAAAAATGCATCTTGAGTTCATGTCAGCTGGTGGATCACATGTTAGGAATGGCTCTTGGCTGCTGGGAGATTCAGGTGTGACTGCTGAGCTGAGGACAGAATTTTAGCCTGCGTTTTCAGCTTCTTCACTTTTTGTTCGTCTTTTTAACCATCCTTTTTCTCTCAACTTCATATGGCTGTATTCTTGTGTTTAACACTGATTTTGGGAGGCAAAAGAGAAAATGCTGATGAGATTATAATAGTCTGGGATGTGTTGTGCTTAGCGGGGGCAGTTTTATGCAAGACACCATCATAATAAGGTTCATTATTGTGGATGTCATAATAATCTGTTATGAGTCATAGCAATCATCTGACAAGTCCTGTGATTCATAGAGAAATCAATTATTACTGAAATGACCCAAAGGATTCAATATTAATATGATATCCTTTAAATCAACATCCAGAGTTTTCATGTGGATAATCTGCTCGGCAGGATTTGGGCTGTTCTGTCAGGAGCCCAATATTGAAAATATGTCTCCTACCATTCTTTATCAGTATAATGAACTTCTTCCCTTATAAATGAAAATCCAGAACACAAAATACAGAAAAAAAGATTATTGTGAAAAGTCTTTTTGCATTATATATTGTAATACAGTGCTCAACTGAAGCAGCAAGTAATGTTTCAGAGACACTGTCTGCCGATGATTAGGGTTGAGACCCATGACAACCTTATGGAGGACTGTGACAAAGAAGTGGCAACAAGTTTGATGGTTCAATTCAGAAAATAAGTTTCAAAATAAGCAAGCGTTTATTTCAACCTGATGTGTTTGTCGTTTGGTAAGCATTTGTGCTACTGAAATAGTCTGGTAATCAAAAGGATAAAATGACCACTTCTTCATAATCCAACACACAGCTGCTTGCTGGGACTTGGGCCAAACCTTCACCTTCAGATCACCCCACAGCAATGCTTACATGTGAGTTTTAAAGAGAGTTTAGGGGAATGTAGCTCTCTGTCTTTAGCTGAAAAAAAAAAACAAATATTAACTTAGGTAAAAATCAGTTGGAGCAGCTGTTCATTTTTAACATACAAAAGGGAATTTTTCCATACTTTAAAATTTAAACTTGTTACCTGAAAGTAGTGATGGTTTGGAGGCAAAGATGGAATTAGGAAAATTGGAAAGTTGAGAAACAGCTGACACAAGTTTAAAAAGTTAATTCATTTTAAGACTGTTTTGTTACCTAGGAATTAAGCTGAATGCTAGCAATCATCTCTTAGCAGCACTATATAAATGCAAAGAAATGTGAAAACAAGCCTACAAGTTCCTCCACATGACGCTGTCACTGGGTAACTGTTAGCACCTATGTTAGTTACTCCTTCAATGGGCCATGAAATTGTTCCAGCTTTTAAAATGTGTGAGAGAATTAAGGCAGGTGCTGGCACATCATAAATGAAACTCCAACCTTCAGGCTGGTACAGTAGTGACATTGTTACTGTTCGCATTCTTGAAAACACATGGCTTGTCAAGCTGCAGTAAAATTATTTTGTGCTTTTACATTATTAAAACTCAGTGGCGTCTTTGGGCTGCCCACAAAAGGTGTGAGACTTACAGGCGTAAGAATATACATTAATTATTGATACTTGCTATGTATTTTTGTTGTTGTTACTGAGTTTGTGTTGCTCAGTAGCTGTTGGATTACCTAAGGAAGAGATTTGCTACAGAAGGTGCTCCCATCTGCTGTTGGAGAACTCAAATACTGATCCAAAAAAACCCTTAATGACTTCTCTGAAAAATCTCTCAGAATAATAATACTCATAAAACCAGCATACAAAGTCAAGCCTGATTTCACAGCAGAACAGAGGCTCAGCATTTTTTCATTAAAGGGAACAGCAGAATATAAAGAGTCATCTGAAGTCTGTGGGTGTTTTTCCTGAGTTCTTAAACCTTTCTTTAAACCTTAAATCCAGCAAATTGCTATGCAGCTTCTTACCTCAAGCAATCATTACTGTTCTCTCAAAGGAGCGCTTAATCTTCAGTTTCTTACAAGGTTCCTCTTACAGATAAAACTGCGTTGAATCCTACTACCTTCAAACAACTGTCCAGTTTCTGTCCTTCTGTTTTCCAAAACTTGTACCAGACTGTGAAATGAAAACGTCACAACTGTGTGTGAGGTTCTGTTAAAAATTTCAGATGAGATTATCTAAATTTATAGTCATTTTTAGGAAACCTGCATATTTTTCTTACTAGCAGTAAGGTTATTTAATTACTCTAATTACTGATTTAATCACTGTATAAAAACTGCCTTTGTTTTTGTGCCACATTTAGCCCTGTATGAAAATCTCTTAATACAGCATTAGGGAATTAGAATTGTCCTCGTACTGAGTAAAAAGAACATGCTCTCTTGTGTAATCAGAAAAGCGTGTATTGCCTGAATATGCTTGCTTTCCTAATTGTAGAACTAAAATATTTCTGTCGTTTATAATTTGCCTTTATATGTAGGAAGGGCACCAGACAATAGGATTATTAACCTATTCTTGCTTCTTTCTCTCCATTTTCTCATTTTCCAAAAGTGGGTCTTACATCTGTGCTTTTAAACTGTATTTTGATGTCTCTTCTGGTGTCACTTTTTTGGTTTTATATTGAAGATCACCTTGTATGCTAGCACTATGTAATTTTAATATGTTCCAGTGACAGTCCTGTGAGGTGGCAAGCTAATGCTATTTTCAATTGTATAGCTAGGGAACAGAGGCACAGAAGACTAGGAGCAGCTTTTCCATACCTGACTCTGCCTAGTCATTTAGGCTCCCTGTAGACAGCTAGTTAGGTGATATATCAACCCCAGTGACATAGCCTAGATCACATTAAAGCCCGTGGCAGGCAGTGTACTGAATTCAGATATTCCAAGGCCCACTTTAGTACTTTTTTTTATTGGAACATATATCCTTTCTGAAATAAACATGTATATTATGCTGAAATGCAGGATTTTGAATTCTTCATGTAGATTGGCAAGAGGCGTGAACTTTACAATTTTTTGCTATTTTAAAGTCTTTGCTATTTCTCCCATTAAATAATTGAGAATGTCATCCTTCGTCTTGGGTTTTCATGGTTTTGGTACTGCTTGCTTTTCACAGATTCTACACTTTCAGGGGAAATTGGCACCAAGAAGAAAGTGAAAAGACTGTTAAGTTTCCAGAGGTATTTCCATGCATCCCGGTTACTGCGTGGAATTGTACCACAAGCCTCTCTGTACCTACTGGATGAGGACTACCTTGGGCAAGCAAGGGTAAGACAGGTTTCCACATCTCCATTTCTCCAGAGAGTGTTGGGTTTGTTTCAGTCTTCAGATAAACAAATGTATGGCTAATCTTTCTTAAATGACCTACATTACTTGCCTGCCTCACAGCAGACTGTCAATTCCTCTTTTACAGTTACAGCTTTAAAGGCTTAGTCTCAAAACAACAAGAAAGCATCTAAATGTATTCAGCATTTTCATATTCTGTCAACTGAAATTATAATCTGGATTTATTAAAGGGTGAAGGATCCCTGGCTAAGTCACCAATTTAAGTAAGGGTGGCCTTGAGACAGGATTTAGTTCATCCACTTGAAACAAGACAACTATCTCTCAGCTGGTATGGAGCACCTATTAGGCAACCCAGAATAGCTCTCCATAATGGCAAAGACTAGGAAACAAGGAACAGTCACTGTAAAGAACTTCACAAGAATCAAAATACTGTTCTCTTATTTTACAGCTTTCATACTTACTTTGGATGGTATTTTCTAGCAAAACTTGGACAATTGATGGCATTGGGATTATGAGCCTAGGCAATTCTTATTCTCTGCAAGAGAAAATTACATACCAGGTGTTAAAAAGTAATTAAGAATCCAGAACTGGTTTGAATATAGATTAAACTATGGGGGTGAACACACATTTCATTCACACATAGGTCATACAGTTAGTCCAGACTCATTCTCTTGGCTGAACTGATGTAGCTGTAAAAACACTGTATATGGTGATAATGATAGATTCTTATGCATGGCTGAGTGGGCTTCCCAGAAGCACTTTATCTTAGTTTATAAAAGCTATTCCTCTGTATTGGTTTGTTTAGCAAAATGTAATTCATATTCACTGTGAGAGCTAAGATTGTGTTTTACTGTAATAAAAACCTAAGAGAATTTGTACTGAATTGATTTGGGGACACGAAAGAGCAAGAAAAAAGTTGTGCAATAAAAGGGAATATTTTCATAATATTTTGATTTGTATTATTCCATGTTTTAAGCTCTATTTAGAAAGTATTTTTAGTGTCAAGTTCAAAACCTCCTCAGTTAGAAGTGCAAACGATACAGGTTTTTATGCAGTAGAGGTAAACTTGGTTCCTGATGCCTGATATTTCAAATACATCTCTATAGCTTTCCCAAACAAAACTTGAAAGCAGCAGCAATCAATCCTATAATTGATGAATGTAGAATAATAATTTATATCTGCTTTACAGTTTGACATACCAGTCATTTGCCTTTTCATATTTGTTTTTTGTAGCATATGCTGTCCAAAGTGGGAATGTGGGATTTTGACATTTTCTTGTTTGACCGCTTGACAAATGGTAAGTAATTTTCAAAAATGTTTTCTTTTAGCGTCTCTCACATATCACTGTTCTAAAAATCCCTAATTAATTAATTGCTAAACATTTCCAGTTTAGATTACTGAAGAGAAATTACACACAATCAACTTCTCTTCAGATCATATCCTTGAACATTTTCAGGCTTTTCCTGAACAATAGGGTAATGTTTAGAGTGTGGTTTTGTATTTACCTAATCTCCTGCATTTGTTATGGTCTCCTTTTCAAGGAGGTGTTTCAGTTTCCTTACCTGGGAAATTCCAAAAGTACTTTAAATATACCTATTGAATACATTGGTCAATAACTCCAGATGTCCATAATCAGTCAATTTCCATCAATATGATATACCTTCAACTGAAGATATCCTTACTTCTGTTCATCAGCAAAAATTAGGAAATTCGTTAAGAAAGTAAAAATCTGTGAAATGTTTCGTCTAAATATATGCCTGTAACACCACACACACCCCGATGTCTAGGCAATACCTCTTGATCAGGTAACTGACTAAAGAGGCCATGATCACACATTTCTCCTTTCTTAGGAAGGAGATTTCTCATTCCTCACCCCCAGTCTAATTAGGTTTGGAAGGGGAAGAAGGTGTAGAAAAAGGTTGGTTTAGAGAGTAATTCAACTGAGTGACTAGCAGTGAAGAATGGGTGGGACTGCAAATGGCAAGGGAAGCAAAAACATAATTCTTCTGAATTACCTTTCTGCACCCCTGTTCAGTAGTTCAGGCCGAGTAAGCTTCCATGTACTCTTCGTACATCTATTTATTTTCTTTCCTGAGTTACATTAAATAAGAAAAGACTCCCTTCAAGCCCTGTTTTTATGTTTTATGTTTTGGTTGGTTTGGGTGTTTTTTCTAACTTTTCTGGAAGCACTGCTGTTGAATTTTGCAGTGCAAACTTTTATAAATACCCTGTGTATGTATATTTGATCATATAATACTAGTTAGGCACAATTTTGCTAGTGTCCCCAGTATTGGGTTCACAATAAGGACAGATTTAACACTACAGTGGAACTGGAGACCGTAACTGGTGCAATTCGTATTTCCTGTCTGCATCATTGTTATGAGATGCAGTTGTAATTGAGCTACAAACTGCTGATTTCTGAGTAATCAATTATTAAAATATAGCAAACTGAAGTGGCAGAAAAGCCATTCTCCTTTCTGTGGTTTCTGGAGGTAGACCTGGCTTAGGAAGGTGATGTGGTTCTCAGACAAGCCTGTCAGAAGTTTTCCAGTTAAAACCATGTCAGTTTGCCTTCTGCATCAAATTGAAACAGCAAATGTGACCTTACGGCATCTAGAGACAAGAATGGCACTTGTCGTGGTTTAAACCCAGTCAGGTAATTCGTTCACACCCCCCCCCCCCTTCTTTCCCTCCCCCTACTCACGGAGGGACGGAGAGGAGAATCGAAAAGAATGCAACTCCCACGGGTTGAGATAAGAACAGTTTAGTAACTAAGGTATAACACAAATCACTACTGCTACCACCAATAATAATAATGATAAAGGAAATAACAAGGGAAGAGAATACGACATCTCACTACCAGTCAACCGATAACTCGCCCCCCAAGCCCAACCAAGCTCTGACCGATACCTCCTCCAACCCTGCAGTCCCCCAGCCCTTCCGGCTAACTCCCAGTTACCTCCTGGGCATGACGTGCTGTGGTATGGAATACCTCTTTGGTCAGTTTGGGTCAGGTGTCCTGTCTCTGCTTCCTCCTGGCTTCCTCTCCTCCCTGGCAGAGCATGAGGCTCACAAAGTCCTTGGCCAAACCAAAACATCATTGTTATCAGCTCTGTTCCCAGGCTGAAAGTCAAAACACAGCACTGCACCAGCTACCAAGGAGGAGAAAAATGACTGCTACTGCTGAACCCAGGACACACTCCACCACTACAGCCATACCCTCAAATCTTGTTTATATACAGGGGTAATTTATGTAAGATACTTTTGAGTAGCTTTATAGTGACGCTTTTGAGTGTGTTATCACTAAGATGGTAGGAGCTGGCTAATAGAAAATTACCAAGATTTTTAGTCTTGCTTGTTTTGTAGCTACGTGTTAAGGGAATCTAACAGCTGTTCCTTTCTGCTTTTAGGAAACAGTCTTGTAACACTGCTTTGTCACCTCTTCAATGTGCATGGACTTATTCACCATTTCCAGTTAGACATGGTTACATTACACAGGTTTTTAGGTAAGTACTCACCTCAAAGTCGTCTTTAAATGCAGTTTACAGATTAAGTAGGGCATCAAAGAAAGCACTGGTTTGGTCTCCCTATCTGTGTAAAATCGTTATGTTGCTGCAAATGTTTCGGTAAAACATTTGTGTGATATGTATTAATACACAATTTACAGGCACTCAGGTACATGGTTCAGTATTTATTAACTCAATGGAGGGACTTCAAAAGGCTCTGCATTGGGCTGAAGCATCCCAGTACCACAGTTGCACTGGTGTTTTTAAAAAAAGTATGCCATGCAGAGATGTGGCCAGCCAAGCAGGCCCACACAGACAGACATTGCAGAACCTACCCATGCACATTATAATTGTGGTGCAGTGTAATTATGTTAGTGACTAACAGACCACTGAGACCCAGGGCAGTTAAAAGCTTATGTGCAAAATTTAACAAATTATATCAAGCTGTCTGCACTGAATAGTGTTGATGAAAGCCCCTGCTGCTGTTACTGCCAACCGAAACATTAGCCCCATGCTGTCAGTGAACCAAAAGAAGAAATTGGCCAAAATCAATTACATTTTGCATCATGTTTTGAATGCAGCTGAACGCCGGTTTGCTAGGCTGTGAGGCGGAGTTTCCAAGGCAGGGTCTCTTCTTTAAGACTGCCTAATTGTCGCTTTTGGAAAGCATTCCTCCAGTGTGGAGACAGACAGAATCTCCCTGCTGTTTGTCACTCCTGTGGGCAGCCATGAAGTGGACACTCAGATAATTAGAGCTAGTGGTACTCAGGGTTTAAAGGATTACCCACCGTAACTTCAGATGCCTGTGGAGCTGGAAACAAACTGAAGGCTGGGACTTTCTTTGGTGTCCCCCATGCTGGTGATGAGTGCCATGGGAAATTTGCCCATTACCTTTCTCTTTGATTAATTTGATAGTGTCTAGGAGAGTGCTTTGGGCAAGACCACCTGCAGTTTACAGTGTTCATGTGCTCTTGCCCTAAGACCACCTAATGGTGCAGGTACTGTCTTGAGGAACGTATGAGTCTGAAGCGCACACCTCAATGATTTTCTGTACAAGCAAAAGCTGAGAGTTAAAAGATTGGTGCTTCTGGTCCAGCTGGACCAGTTCCAGCACTGCAAACCAAAATATGAGTGAGTGGTGTTTTAAAATTAACACATAGATGTGACTAAAATTATCACAGGATTTTGCTCCAAATACTCCAAAGCTGTATCTTTTGATTCTCTGTCTGGAGGATGTAGGAATGCCTTTGACTGTAGTTAAGTCACTCAAATAACAAATGATGCCAGGATATCAGGGCCTCGCCTCCTGCTGCTGTAAAATAGGTGGTACTGACTTAATGACATATTACTCCCTTATGACACCAGCCTAAATAATTACACTCCATTGTGGATGAATTTGCCTCTCTTCCTTATTTATTTTACTCCTGAATGAGAGCCTTCACTAAGGTAAGAAAGAGTTGATTTATTCACTAGACCCGGTATATCCCCTTGGGCCTCACAAATCCTGTCATTCATTTTTTGTTTAAAGGTATCCCAATAAGAGCACCAGTCTAAGTAAGCTACAGCTATTTGAAGAAACTCCTTAGGTAGTTGACTGCAAAACCTCAATTGTACTTTAAATCCAGTTCCCACTTGTGGCCGTGGTATTCAGAGCCAAAAGGATCTTTGTTTTCTGTTTTGGTTCTCAGTTATGGTTCAAGAAGATTACCATAGCCAAAACCCGTACCACAATGCTGTCCATGCTGCTGATGTCACCCAAGCTATGCACTGCTATCTGAGGGAGCCCAAGGTAATGACCTTTCACACTTATTTTGCTTTCAGATAATTCTCAACTTGTTTCCCCAAGATTGAAAAAAAATATAAAAGCAGCTATTTTTAGATAGCAGAAAAAGTTTGCGGGCTTCAAGTCAACAACCAGTCAATAGCAGAGTCAGCTACAGACTGCAGACATTTCAAACAAGATACTAGTTACTTCACATCATGCAGGTGATGTATCAAACTGATGCTGAATGAGCTGCCATGACCATGTGTACCAGCCCCCCACCAGTGGCTGCAGTCCTTCCATCAGAGCCAGCAGAAGGCAACGCATGCCCGTGCCTCAGGACATAAGCCTCTCACATCAGTATTTCAAAATAACAAATCGGGCAGGGCAACACCATAAAAGGGGACAGTGGTCCTTTAGACTGGGTCTGTTGCAAGGGTATCCTCTGTATGAGTAAACAGCAGCTTCAGCAAGCCCTCACAACATGAGGATATGACGTTGCTTTATGTGTTACTGGAATGCACCATAATACTGTAATGCTGAGCCACAGTATAACAATATAGCTAATCTTTCCTGGCTTAATTTAAGTGAAAGGAAGTTCTGCTAGAATTAGCAAATTGTTAGGCCAGAATATAGTAATGGTAAATGAGGACAGGAGCAGGCTAGAGCTTTCTTGTATTTCCATCTCCTGCAAGATCTGCGAGTGCCTTCTGTCAAGAAGTGTGAAGGACAGCCAACATCCAGAATACCACACTGCTTTTCATTTCTCACCTCAGAATGCTGTACTCTGTACAGACTCATCAGGCTGGTAATAACTACATCACCATGAGAAACAGAAAATGCCAAGACTTCTTTTTTTTTTCTTCCTCGCCAATGATAACAAAATTTGCTTCTGAATGATAAGTGGTATAGAAGAAAAAAATCTGGGCAGGTTTTCAAATGTGGATGTCTGCAGCTAGAAAATTAAATTACGTTCCAGTAAAGTACTTATATTTGAACTGAAGTTGCTAACAGCCAAGTTTGAAATTTCAAAAGTTTACAAACTCTGCATTTTACAACACAGTGCTGCACTACAAAAATGAAGCCTGATGTACTGTTGGTATTACTAAACACTGTGTGAAACAGAGCTTTTATCATGTATGCTAACGTACACCAATCTGCTAGAATACTTACTTTTTTAAACTGAAGCTTTTAGACTATGCTCAAGCACTTCTATAACAACAATCCCTATAATGCCATGAATGATGATAAGAAAAACTGTAATAAAATATGAGTAATATAGTCTGATATCTTTATAGATGTTTGTTCAACAGTCACCTTTAAAATGTTGTTTACAAAATTTATTAAATATTTGACATTTGTGTACAAAAGCCTTCAAAACTGAGCAATGCCACGATGTCAGCTGATTGGCTTATTTGCCAAAAGAAAAAAAAAAAAGGTATTTGCTGTTCATGTTCTTGTTGTGATTAATGTGTGTCATTCAGCTTGCCAACTTCCTCACCCCATTGGACATCATGCTCGGACTGCTGGCTGCTGCAGCCCATGACGTGGATCATCCGGGGGTCAACCAACCCTTTCTGATTAAAACTAAACACCACCTTGCCAGCCTGTACCAGGTAAAACTGCTCATCAAGTTGATAATATGTAAAATGATGTCAAAGAGAGTCTAAGCAATTTGCAGTGAACTTTAATGCCAAAATCTGGTGGCAGAGGGATGTTGATCAAATCAACCTGCACTTCAGAACCTGGACAATTTCAGTTAAGTTCAGCACTGGGTGTCCTTCTTAACAGCAGAGCTGATACACATGATAAGGAAGGTGGAAATGTCAGATTTTGTTGAGCATGTTTAAGCCAAGTTGGTTGCCTAGGTTATTTCTTCTGTGGATCACCTGGGGTAAGGGACGGTGGGTAAGAGATTTAAAATCATAGCAAGACAATTTGTATTTCTTCTTCCTTCAGTGAGCAAGTAAGCAGCAGGCATGTTCTAAATTGGCATTGCATCAAAACAAGCTTACTTCATGTGGTTCTAGTAAAATTAAACCCTTAATGAATACTGCAATTTAAAAAAAAAAAGAAAGAAAAAAGAAGATAGAGGAAAACAAAGGAAAAATTGTAGCTATTGACCCTAATATGCCTGGAGATACAAAGAAAAAACTTAAAAACAGACACCAAGTCACACCACAGGCTGTCTAGACCATTATCCTGTTTCTAACAGCAGTCAGTGAAAGATCTCAGAGAGAAACATAGGCCTGAGATAAGTGTAGATTGGTCCTTCACCTGGTATATGTCCTCCCAGCTCTGGCAAACATTGGTAGAAGACTTCCTGAAACAAAAACAGATACCCTCCCATCCTGCCCTGACTTTTGTGGTCCTTTTTGAGTATATTTGTAGTTCTGGCCTCTGGCAATCACTGTAGCTCTGGATTTTATCCACAGCTGTTCTATGTGTATAATCTTTGCATGCATGTATACGTTACTATGTATGCACATCTCTGTTCTGTACATTATACTTACATATACGTGCTGGAGCAATGCCATAAATCACTGTAATTTGTAGCAATAAATGGAGGTGGTATTGATTTCTAGCCTTTGGAAGAGTCAGCTTCAACCTTTGTAACAGGGTGTCAGAAACAGAGTATCCCAAGTTTAGATGAATAACTGAGGATTCACTAATAGTTACATACCTTTTTACACATACTTAGGAAATTGAGAGTTTGCTGTGATGTGCTTACTGCTTGAAGAGATTCTCTCTTGTTTTTCCCTACTCAAGCAACGTTTGGGTTTTCCCATAAGAAATGCAGCTATCCTGCCCTGAGGAAAGGGAGCAGTCTGTACAGTGGGAACCCCAGCCAGGGCACAGTGGTGCTTAGACACTTAAAACTTTGTGACTCGTCACAAGCTGATGCAGTTTATGAATTCATACACACACGTGTCTGGTGTGTTTTGCTCTAGTCTCTTCTATCAGGCCAGCTGAGTAGGGAGGGAGAAAAGCCAGGGACTAAACCAGGGGACTTTGGCAAGGTTATGTTAAGGGTCCTTGGAAGAGGAGTGGGTAGAGCCATTCCACAAAGCCCCTGGTCCTCTGAAAATGTATACAACCCCTCTCAAATTCATAGTGGGAAACGGTAATATATGATTAGGATGAACATTCAGACTATTGTGAAAGAAATGTAGCTAAAATATTAGTATCTTGGAAAGGTGGTTTCTGCTCAGCTAACTGGGCTTAAATATACTTTCAAATGTTGGTTAGAAAGGCACTGACAATACAGAAAATGCAATCTTTCAACAGCAGATGTGACTGATAAGTATCCTATTTAGGGACCTTCAGTGGTAAGTTTGACTTATTTTATCTGAAATTGATCCCAGATTGTTTCTGAAGATTTTAGTAGCATGCAGTAAATGGATGCCAGTAAAAATAACAATGCTGGAAAAAGTTTAGCTGAAAATGTTTCCAGTCAAAAATTTAGGTTCAGTGAATAGTCTTGAAAACAATAAGTTACATTCTTCTCAATATTAGTGCTTTAACATGTGCTTGAAACAGAAACAAAAAAGTTCTAGTATTTTTGGTTTTTAAGTAGCAGAGCCACAGAAGTGCTGGGACTAACCAGAAAAATGATCAAACAAAAGTAAGTTTAAACATAGCTGGCAGACTTTTTTCACTGAAACAGTAGTAACTGAGGCTAAGGGTTATTTGTTTATGGTGTCTCTTTGCATGTGATTGTTTGTACATTTAAATTAGAACTTTACATCTGGGAAGAAAAATTTTGCAAAACCAGGTGTCATGGTTTAAGCCCAGCTGGTAACTCAGCACCACGCAGCCTCTCACTCAACCCCTCCTTGTCCCCCCCCCACCAGGCAGGATGGGGAGGAGAATCGAAGGAATGTAAACCCCACAGGTTGAGATATGAACAGTCCAATAACTAAAGTATAATATAAAACTACTACTCCTCCTCCTCCTCCTAATAATAATAATAATAATAATGGAAGTAACAAAGGGAGAGAATATGAAACTAAAAAGGGAAGGGAAAAGCAAACAATAAACACAAGTGATGCACAATACAATTGCTCACCAGCCACTGACAGATACCCAGACCAACCTGAACAGCAGTCTGGGACTTCAGGATGCCTCCCCCCAGTTTATATACTGAGCATGACATGCGGTGGTATGGAATACCCCTTTGGCTAGTTTGGGGCAGGTGTCCTGTCTCTGCTTCCTCCTGGCTTCTTGTGCCCCTCCTCCCTGACAGAGCATGAGATGGAGAAGTCCTTGATCAGACTAAGCATTACTTAAATTTCTAATTAAAGTATCATTTCCAGGGATTTAATATTGTGTAGCTAATCCAATTGCTCAGTGACTAAGAATAGATGACCAGATTGAAAGAAATTTAAATTCCCTTCCACTCTGAATTGAAATGGAAGTCTTCTCTGTACCTAGAAAATAGTCTTCTCTTAAAGTTATTAGTCTTTTCCAAATGTGTCAAGTGTGGTGGTTTGAGTGGCTCAGGGAAAAGCACGGATTGGAGATTATGTGATGCTCTAAGTAAAAAAAAAAAAACCAAAAAAAAAAAAAAACCCAACATTTTTTCATCACAGTCCTGAAGCCTTGTGTTATAGCAGTCCAGTAGTTTTAAGCATTAGATGTGACAGAGGCTTCCTAGTATGCAGCCTTTAAAGCAAACCTGAGCTACTAAGTTTAAAAAAAAAAGAAAATTATGGGCAAGCAGAGGTAAGAACCCCAATCTGCAGGCTGGCACATAGACTTTTCCCTGCATGGGTTATCTCCCCACCAGCCGAGGCAATCAGTTAGCTCATGGCAATTAGTCTTAATAAGGCAGTAGAGTGTTCCTAGGTGGAATAGCTGACTCTACTAATTATTGTCAGCAGCTCCAAGGATTCTGGCTGCTTACATTTAAGAGGGAGTCATATGACTTCATGCTCAGTTGCTGCTTGTTAATTTGACCTTTTCTTTTCTCTCCTCCACTAGACAGTGCAGCAGCTTCACTTTAAGTTCCCCCTATAGCAACAGGCAAAGAGCAAAAACTTACAGAATTTTAAATACTCTGAGATGGATACTTGAGTTTGCTTTTTCTTTTGAGTAATTATTAGTTGGATGCAAGAAAATTCTTGGATGTCTACACACTCAGCCCTATTCAGGCTGGCCTTCAGCATGGCCAAAGAGCAACTGCATCCATGAAAGGCAATTCCCTAGTGGAGGTAGCTGCTGCTGAAGCATTCCCTCCCAGCAAGGAACACTGCCATGCTGGACAGGATGTGGGGGCACAGGGTGCTCTGAGGGGGATTTCCCCAGTTGGGATGTTTCAAGGGTGCAGTCAGACTAGGGAATTACCCTCTATGGATGCATACAGGCACTGTCTTAAACAAATGTAAGGCTTCCCAAAAAATAAAGCTGACAGGCAGAATATGTCTAATTTACATTAGGGTAGGAAGATGGTAGGTAGGTAGGGCTTGGGGTGACTGTTGGGAGCAGGATTCAGCTCCACTGGGGAGGTAAAAGAAGCAAAAAATCTGTTGTTATGTCCTATTACATTCTCTTATTTTTCTTGGTCAGAGTTTAGGGGTGCAAAAGTCCATCCTGATGTACTTAGGCAAAAAGAGAAGAGGGATATTTAAGTTGGCTGATGAACAAAATTCCTGTCAAAAGCAGATATTGCACAGCTGATCCTGAGTTCTGAGTCTGTCAGCTCTTCCAAGGAAAAGGACTTAATCTTTGCATGTTTGGAAAGTTTTGAGGTTGGTTTTGTTTTTTACCCCAGTATCCATGGGGTAGGGAAACAAACAAAACCAAACAAACGAAACCCAAACCCACACACACAAAGGCAACATATCAGTGATTGTATGAAATCAAAAGCAACTGAATGTACTGCAGAAAATATCATAATAAGAAATCAATCCAATTCGTGCTCTCACCTTGGTCTCTCCTTTGCACTAATTTTGATCATGAAATTTCAAGAAAATTACTGACAAGATGATCAAAATCCAGATTGGATCTTGGTTGCTGGCAGTGTTTAGTGTTCCAACAGTCACCAGATCTGACCAAATTACAAAGGAGGATGGGAAAGCCTTAAGGAGAAAATTCTGTTCAGCCCTTCTCGAAGAAGTGGAAGCTGTGTGTCACATCCAACAGGAAAGGCAGTACTACCACAGCTACCTTGCAGTGCTGTGGGACCCTGCAGAAGGGAGCCAGACATTAACAGTGGCCAGAGAGGGGGATTCTGACTCTAGTTTCCCAGCTGGCAGTGACAGGGTGGAGTCCTTCCTCTGCTACCTGCCCCAAAAGTTTTATTGGTTTGGGTTTTTTTTAATCCAGTGCTTATCTACCACAAAAGTCATGAACTGCCCAAAACAGGGATCAAATGCCACAACTCCCCTGAGAGTATCCCTGGTGTCAGGTGACAGTTGTCTCCCTCACACTGGGCACATTGTGGATATATGAGGACTCTGCCATTCACTGGAGGGGTGTTCCACGGGACCACTTCTCTGCAGCAAGCAGATGCTTTTGTGAATTACAGTTGTGTTAGGGGTTTTGGAACAAGTGATGTTTTTGAGGCGTTCAGTGGTAAAAAGTACTCTGTGAATTAAATGCGTGATGATTGGCAAATGCATTGTGTGTTAGGATAGTAATATAAAGTCATCAGACACAAGATACCCAATTTGTTGTAATTTACAGACAACCTAGAAAGCTGGGTTTCTATTCCTTAGGAATTTTTTCTGACCTAACTTTGGTTCCACTTAGTTGGAAGCAAACAAACAAAAAGGACTCAAAATTTATTGCAGGCTAAGCTGCTGAAGCCTGCAGATGCTCAGTGATACTGATCCTCTTCTTGCTTTCACAGAGCAGCTGCAGACAGCTTCCAGTTCCCTTATTCCAAGGGAAATTTGGCAGTTTATCTTTCTTTTTTTTTTTTTTTTTGTCCACTCTGCATTCAAACTCTAGAAGCTGAGAAGTCAATCTGGGATCAGTAGGAGGTAAAAATACGATTTTGCACTTTAGTTTGTTAATAAATCTGTTAGAATGCAAGCTACCTCCCACTCAGATGAGATTAGCTCCTCTGTTCATAGCTGGACTCTAGGGCTGACCTTAGCTAGGAAACGTGGAAGCACAAGGTTCTTAACTGTGGAAATCCAGACCAGTTCCTCAAGTCCAAGCGTGTGCTAAAAAGCACACATTTTAGGCTCATGTTCAGCACTTCCAACCTGCTCTAGGCATTGTGTGATACAGCAAGTCTGCGTCTGTACCATGGATACATGCCTAATCCTTGAATTTATTCCCTTTACTCCTCCATAGAATGTTTCAGTGCTAGAAAATCATCACTGGCGGTCAACGATAGGCATGCTTCGAGAGTCACGGCTCCTCGCTCATCTGCCCAAGGAGGTGACGTAAGTGTCCACTGGAAGAATTGCATCACTGAAACTAGCCTGTGGCTTCCTTTACTCTTCTTGGAAGGACAATGGCAGAGGCCCAGGCTTCAGAGTAGGCTGAACTTACTGTCCTCAATTTGTGCCAGTAAGAAATCCTGAGACAAGGTTATACAGCAGCGCTATTTTCTAAGACCTCGCCACTTCTGCAGCACAGGAATTGCCACTGTCAGGGTGAGGAACACTGGGAGTCACAGCAGGAACAGACCTTTTCAGGACCATTGTTGGTATTTTTCATTTTACATAGCACCAACCAATTATGGAAAGATTTAGGTATTAAAAAACATTAAATAGAAAAATAAAGCAGTTGGTCAAGTAGCATCAGGACTGCTCAGGAGGCGTGGTTCAGTCTTCACCATCTTTTCAAGTGAAGCAAAAAAAAAAAAGCAGCAGCATGCACCTTGGCCAGGTTGATGCTAACTTCTTACCTGCTGGTTTTGTGCAGTGTTAGGAGTAGAGACTGAGCCAGTGTACAGCCTGCAATACAAAATTTTAATCACAGGTGACCTTACTGAGAATATAAACAAGCAATAAGCTCCATATCCCTCCAGAAATCCTTTGCACCAGACCAATAACATCAGTTGTACTTTAAAGGACTCCAGTCTAGTCCTTCACAACTTCAAAGCTGCAGTATTCACCACCTAGCTCTGAGCATCTAAGATGTGACCATTTTTCTAGAGGCTTTATGCTGTTGTTTTGGGTTTGTTGGTTTTGGTTTCTTTTTGTGGTTTGGGTTTGTTTGGTTTTTTTCACTTTCCTAGTACTTTTCAGAAGCTTTCCGAAACAGCTATGCCAACAGGCATTTTTCTTCTATGTTATCTATTCCTTCTGAACCCATTTAGGCAGTTAGATCAGTCATGCCCCACAAACCCCAGCAGAGACTGACCAAAGAGATCAGATTGGATCCATAAAGAAAGAGAATCTTTATGGTAGCTCTGATTTGTAGCAGATTGTTTTGAGCTAGTGGTTTGGTGATTGAAGGAGATTATTTTGCTTAATTGTAGACAGGACATCGAGCAGCAGTTGGGCTCCCTGATCTTGGCAACAGACATCAACAGGCAGAATGAGTTTCTGATCCGTCTGAAATCTCACCTCGACAATCAGGATTTGAGGCTGGAGGATGCTCAAGACAGACATTTTATGCTTCAGGTAATGTCAAAAAAAATATTTTTCCATTCTCGTTTTTTATTAATTTCTCAAGTCACAGTAGCTCCTAGTATGTGTTAGAATAGTGATACGATAGTGTGTCTGGACATCATCATCTCCTCACCTATCACCATAAACACTTTCCTTCTGCCACCCGGCATGTCAGGCAAGCATAAGGAACCTCCAGTACTTCCTTATGTAATTTCCTTCAGTTAAAAAGCTGTGCATGCACAGATAGAGGAGAGTGTCAATTGCTGGGAAACGAAGATAAGCTATTACTTATTTTATTTCCAGACCACTGTTTCTCTTGCCAGATAATGCTTCAATCACATTCTCTCTTCTGCAGACACTACCTCACTGGTGTTATTTGCTGGCACTGTGAAGGAGAGCCCCCTTGTCTGTGTTCTTTCCAAGCCAGCTTGACACCACATGCCCAACCCTGTTCCTGGGATGGATGCTTGGAAACTGCCTCTGCAGAGACAGCTGTTGCCATGGCAGCAGGTGCTTCTCCAGTGGATCTACCCAGCTAATGAAGAAACCATGCTTTATTCAGAAATCAGATAGATTCAGGCTGGTTCTTCTGTGGTCATTAACGGGCTCTTCAGAATAAAATTCTACCTAATGAAGCATTATTTTGACTAAAATAGCTTCATATACCTGCTTCTCTGGAGAAACAACATTAATTTCACTCTTAAATACATAAAGGAGCTTAAGTAATCATTATCATTTATAAAACAAACATCTACATGTTATAAATTTGTCAAGGTTACAGGAAAGGTGCCAATTGCAAGGAAGGAAGTACTGATTTGTTAATCCTTCCACCTCCAGCAGTGTGGGAAATGTAGTAATCTACTCACCTGTCCTCCATCCAACACAGTGTTGTGTCAGATTTCTGAATGGACTATGCAGGGCAGGATAATGGGCATATCATATTTCTGGACAGATCAGGCAAGAAAGCTGTGCAAATGCCAAATGCAGAGGCGTTACAGATCTCAACTATGGCAGAAAGTTTCTTATGTGTTTTCTTGAAGATAGGAACTAGGGCACAGACATGGTGAGATTCACTTATTTAGTCAATTAGTTGTGGAAGAAGGAATAGAAAAAATTTCAAAAAATGTTGATTGATCAGGATAAATTAAAGAATGTTTGAAAGGTTCTTGTGACAGTAAAGGTCCTAGTGACAGTACCATTCAGGCTAATCAATTTAATCCAGAGAAAAAAGTGACTTGGAGACTTCCCTCCTCCAGTTTTCAGGTCTGAAGTTATACAGGACATATTTCTTACGCTTTCCTCTCAGGTGCCAGAATGATTTCTGACCTCTGTCAGGGTAACTGACTGTGTTCAGTGAAGAAATGAGGCACATGACATCTTGTTCTTAGGCAGTAAGATGGACTATTACATGGTTTACTTTTCTGAAGCAGTTACTTGATTTTAAAAACCTCTTGCCCTCCTGTACTCATTCTCCTGCAAAGCACTTAAAAGTACTAGTTAACTAAGTGAAACCAAGCCAGAGGCAGTACAGAGAGCCCTGTGCTTTGTTTTGTAAACAGAAATATGCAGACATTAAGATGAAGTGTAATTGAAGTGAGATACAAGGTCACTCACTGAGACCACAGAGAAATGATGCCCAAATACACCAGCTTGGCTCTTCCCTTCCTTGTCATCAGCCATAGGTACTGAGCCAGGCAGTCAGCAGGAGCCAGCCTGAGGTTTTTGTTGGCTTACTCCTTGCAAGAAATAACCAAAACACTTTGCATCCTTGGAATTTGGCCCTCCTCTTGTTCTCACTACAGTAAAGCAGAGGGCTGAATGAAAGTTTTGTTTGCTGCTTAAATAAATGCTTTTTCCTCACAAGGCTTATTTGGATGAGGCTGCATCTCTAAAAGGTGATCTTAACCCTATCTTAACCCTTCCCAACATCACTGCTGAAGCTTGGGAGTTTAATGACTGCCGACTGACTGCTGAAGCACTGCTGGACAGTAACATTTCCTCACCCCTAATCTATCTTCTTTGCTTTCAGATTGCGCTCAAGTGCGCTGACATTTGCAACCCTTGCCGGCTCTGGGATCTGAGCAAACAGTGGAGCGAACGGGTCTGCGAAGAGTTTTACCGGCAAGGTCAGCCCCTTCACACGTGGCAGTCCCCTTTCTCCTCGGCCTGCCAGGCTTTTTGTCTGGCAAGGCAGAGGTAGCATTCAGCTTACCCAGTTTGCCTTCAGATGTCCCTCAAGAACAAGCTGTTGAAGAGAAACTCTGCCTTATTTTAGAAGTGAGAAGAGGTAGAAAAGCATCAAGTATTTCTTTGCCCTCACTGCTCCTGTAGCAGTGTCAAGAGGGAGGAAAGGCTCTGCTGTGCCTCAGTGCTTGAATTCAGCTAGAGAGCCCACAGCTGGATTCTTCTCTGACCATTAGTGTTTCTGAGCTGAAACAGCACCAGGACTACACTGCACGAAAATCCTACTGCTGTCCATCATGTTTTATCTCGCTTTTCATGCTTCTGCCACAGCTCTGATGGGAGCCTTACCCTCGCTGTTTCCCAAATATGACACATTCTTCTGCCTACAAATGCAGAGAAAAGGTTCAAACGCGTTTCCCAGTGCGCTGTTGAAAGGGCCAAAGCAGACAAGCCAAAGCTCGGCTAGGACCTATTGCAAATATTTTCAAACCCCCGCAGAGAGCGCAGTCAGGCAGGGATTTTTTTGAAACACAGTAATTACACCATTTGGCGCTATGTGCATAGGCAAGGTCATGCTGTGCTACAGCACAGGGTGCAGCAGAGTTTAATCACTGCTAAATTCTTTGTTTGGAGCATCCTGAGAGCCAAAGGCAAGTGGCACTAACACTGGAAGAGCACACAGTTCATTTAAAATTCTGCAGTACGCAATTAAGCCACATAAGAGCTGGTACCTGGTACAGTTAGTCCATAACAAGGACAAATAGATCAGTAAGTTAATGTTCAGCCAGTGTCAATTTAGGCTGGTGAAATGTCTTTGCCTTTGATGCTTTTGAGGCGACATAAGCAATTTGCCAGATGCAGGGTTATTTAGTCAGATGTATAATCAATATCCAGCTCATGAGGACAAGGCCCCAGTTGTGCGATAACTCACCTTGAGTGTATTGAGGGACCATGCTGAGAAAGGCAGCACTCCCAACTCTTACAAAGAGGTTTTTCCCCAGGACTCAAGATTTATTGGTATAGTATCTAAAATATAATATACCTCCTAAAGGGGACACTGGAGCATATGAGGCCAATTAGAGGCTTACAGGGAGAAAAAGCATTCATGTGGGAGAATATGCATAAACTGTGGTCTGACTATCACTGGTGGCTGGATAATCCTGGTAAGTGATACAAAATCAGTATTAACTAGCATTAACATACCACTTTAAAATGTTATTGTAGACCTCTCTACCCCCTTACAAACAATGCTGGGCTTTTTGTCATCAAGTTAAAGATTTTAAAACCATAGCACTTATGTTTTAATTATAGATGGGGCAGGTAATACCACAATTAGTGCCTTATTAAATCTTCCTTCTGGAAGGCATACAAAGTTTTAACATCTTTTGTATGAAACATTTCTAATGCCATTTTAATAGAGACTCAGATCCTGATCTTCCAGTCATCTAGTGCATCTACACTACCTCTATTAGCAAATAAAATACACAGCTGAGGTACATTCCAAGGAGCACCTGATGCCTACAGCAGCTCCTAACACAAACTTTTCCTAGAAAAAATACTTTAGCTTTCTCAGATGTTTTAACAGCCAATTAGGAACATGAGGTAAGTAATGCAATTTGGTCTGTTTATATAAAATTGGAACTGGCGAGAAACAATTCAAGATTGATTCAAGAAAATGGCTAATATCTAAGCAACATTAATGAACAGTTTTTCTGGTGAGGATTTAAAATTGCTTGGAAGGCTTTCTCCAGCATGAAAGCTCTCACAACTAATTCATGCAGTTACTTTTATAGCAACTCGAAGCGTAAGAAAATTGACCATCATTTAAGTTCTTACCATGCAAAGGAAAAACCTTACTCCTGTCAATTAAATGACCTGTCAAAGACAAGAATATATTGATACACTTTGAGCCAGGCAGGTCAACCATTTTCAATTCAGAATACCTAGAGGGGACATCCATGGGTTATGTGTCCACTGGAGTGGAGACACTTTTTTTCAATCAAATATTTTTAGAGGAGAAAAGGAAGACATTTGAACTGCACATTTGGAAACATGACAAACTGTTATTTTGTCTGTTTTGCTGAATTGTTGCTTTTGATTGTTTGGGAAGCCAGAAGTGTTTCCCTGATATTTTCTAAATGTCTAATTGAAAATATTCCCCTCACATTTAAGAAGAAATTGCATGCTGCAGAGAGAGGAAGGGCAAGGCTTAAAAGTGCACATGGTATTCTGGTATTCTATACAGGGCTATAGAACCTGAGTAAGCACACTAGCATTTAAGTCAAAACTATGCAATGGCATAGGCATAGCCCTGATACCCACGTACACCACAATAATAAATCAAACTTCTAATTTCATCCTTCTTCCACATATATAACTTTAATTCCATAGTTCTTGACACATAAACACAAGTTGCCTAACCCCATGTTCTGGCCCTTATTTGATAGTGCACACACAGCTGTGGACTGCCAGCAGTGGATTTAATGTTCATTCAAAAGTCATCTTTCCTTAGAAAAATTTTTCTTTGTATGGATACTCAGTTTCTCTGAGACCTAAAAAGAAAAATAAAAAAAAAAAAAGTATTTAGACATTTAATGTGGTTGTCATTGGTGTAAGATTCCAGCTGATCAAATCCACACAGTTGCAGTCACTGTAAATATCTGGTATAGGTATGGAGAAGAGATGAAAGTGGCATAAATCTACCTTCCCTTCTTTCTCCCTGCAGGTGACCTGGAACAAAAATTTGAACTGGAAATAAGCCCCCTTTGTAATCAACAGAAGGATACAATACCAAGCATACAGATCGGTAAGTATTAGTTCCATTCTCTTCTCCCCATGTCTGCCTCATCTCAGTATGGCACAAGCTCAAAGAGAAACTTCCCCCCATCTAGTTGTTTTAACAATAAGAACTGCAGGTATCATAAGAGTCACAATTCACATTCTAAACAAAATATTAAAAAATAAACCTTACCCAAGCCAAATATGCAATTGAAAGACAAAGGAGTCATTGTATAGGCAAAAAGGGGGCCATTCTAATATCTGTGGAGAAAAGTTGCAGCTGGTGTGTGATTAAGTACTGGTTGCTTTCTAGTCTGAAATCTCAGAGAAGGATGCTGTCTCTCACAGACTGTATTGTTACACATACACATACAGCCACATTTTGTCATGAGCTGGTCAAAAGCTGTGCGTTTCATAAGGAACTGATGACTGCTTGCGGCTTTATTGTTACTTCTAGTCAGAGCTTTTGCCACTTAACATTGCTGTATCCTCTTGAGACATTCTGTGGGGCAACGCACTCACGTGATGAATTTGTTCCTCACCTGCTGTCTTTTGTGTGTTTCCCCAGGGTTCATGACGTACATTGTAGAGCCACTCTTTGAAAGGTGGGCCCAGTTTACAGGTGATACTCCCCTATCTGAAAACATGCTAAACCATCTCAGGAGGAACAAGGCCAAGTGGAGGAGTTTGCTCCACAAGCAACACAGCAGTAGTAGGAGCAATGACCACTCAGGTCAAGTGACTGGCAGCCAAGAACAGACTTTGAATGAAGAAGAGACTCCTTAGTGGCAGCTTTGCACTTTTGTTCATAGCACTGCTATCTCCGTCTTGATCACAGCACCAAACAAAACCCTGGGGAGCTAGAAGCCTGTTGTCAAGACCATGGAAAGGGAAGAAATGGCAAAGCAGAAGCTGTAAGGGTCACTGCAAACAAGCCCACGGTTCTGCTGGGTTCACTTCTGGATCTCCTTCATGTTCCTCTCCCCTCTCTTCATTCTGTGCATGCCTGGTGCCGTTCATCACTTCTGATCACGAACTGCCTGAATGCAGAGTCCCAGTCAGCAGTACTGAAGCCGGGCTGGTTATGGCTGCCATGAAGCAGGGAAGATTCCTGAGAGAACAGGGGAACTAGAGGCACTCTTGGTTATATAGTCATTTACCACGAGTCATACTGTGACATATGTATATAGGCCCAGTGCACTGTACGCTTTCCAAGCTGGCAGCTGGGCTGCACATTAAACCACCAGCATCTTCAGCATCCAGAGGACACTGGCTGAGTGAGACAGCGTTCACAGAGGGCAGAGAGAGTCTGGTTATTTTAGTAATTAAAACAAAAACCTTTTTAACTTTTGTATTCTGTGCACTAAACAAGATCTATAAACCTTGAACTGAAGTTACTCTGTGTATACACAACTCCAGTGTAACAAGGCTCATTTTGGTAATCATTTTTATGCCACTTTGGATAAAAGACAGGCATCTTCTCATTGCAAGGAACAGTATTCCCTCGCAACCAAAAGGGAAGGTGTTGTACAGTCTAAACCTTTGAAACACAAACAGATATATCTTTTGAGTACTGTTTCAAGTAACGTGTTTATATTCATGTGTACATTTTCTGTAAATACAAAGCGCTACTGATTCCCATGCCAAAATACTGGAGTACTGTGGGATTGCTACCTGTAAAAACATTGGCACTGTGAACAGAATACTGTTAGTTTTAATACAAGAGAAAGCATTTGTAAATATGGTATAGAGTTTATTAATATACACCAATTGTTTGTGGATAAAAGCCTTAACTTTTAGCATACTTCATCTTCTGATAGCTGCCAAAATCATATGATCACAAAATATGATTCTGAACTGCCTTTCCGCTACCCAAGGTGTATCAAAGGTCATTAAGGAATGAAGTCTGGCAGGATAACTTCTTGAAAACTTCAAACACATTCCATATGGGTCAGTGTTTTAATCCATGGCACCTTGCACATTTGGCCTAGGCAAAAGCTTCACAGAGCCTGTAGTTTTAAGTTAAAAAAAAACAAAACAAAACAAAACAAAACAACACCACCACCATATAATTTAACAGTTTGACTGGATGATCATTTATTCGAGAGCTTGATTTTTCATTAAATAGCTTAGTGGTCTACAAAGCATAGCAGTCTAATAATCCTGGAGTCCAATTGTTTTCTTGAGAGATGTTTCCCCACATTCCCTCCTAACATAGCCAGCATCAAAATGCATTTGTATTTTTCTTTTCATTAAAAAAAATACAACTGATTTTTGGATTAGTCTCAATGCAGGAAAAAAATGTGTTGTCATCTGAGTATCAAGAAAAACCCTCTTAACAATCATAGCAGCTGAGGAATTTTCTATAGTCTTGTGCTTGTGAAAGATCCATGGCCTTATCTATGCCATGAACAACCTCAGCTGGAATAGTCTTTATAAAACTTTACTTCAGCTTCCATCATTTCAATGAGATTGTATTCTCAGACACTACTGCATTGCACCAAAGCAATTGTCCCCTTCACCTCTGCCCCCAGAAAAATTAATTACATTCAGGTAAAGTATGGTGGTGGTGTAAAGCCCCAGTACATCAAACCTGTATAGCAGTTTTCCAAAAGAATTAGCAGATATGGCCATGTAGTCACATCTGGATGTGAATACCTGGTAGAGGCCAACAAAGAAAGAGCTATTTAAGTTGGTGTTTGAGAAAATTAGTATTTACTCATAGGCATGCAAGGGGAAACACAATGTAATTTTTCTCAGTTACAGGGAATATTGACTTGATTAGACAAAGTGCTTAGAAGATGACTCATATGTTTAAAGGAAAATAAAAAGCATAAGTAAGTTTTAGTAAAGAATATTTTACTCTACTAATTCATTGGCCATGTATCTTTAGAGAAAGAGACTGAAATCCAGTGAAGCAGGAAGATGGAAGTCACTGTGAGAACACAAAGCATCCTGAGTACAATTTTTTTTTTCTCTACTGTTCTGTAAGCTATCAGCAGTAGAAAACATTCTTCTTCCTCCCTCTTCTCAATGGGACTCACATATTAGAAGTACCATGCCAAGCAAAGAGACAGAGTTGTAGTAGAATAAAATTATTTCTAACTACAGGGCATAAATGTCTTTTTAACCACCTAATGGTGGGGGTGGAAACATTACCACTTTGAAGCTTTTTATGTGTATTTTGCCTTCTGACAGATTTGGGACAATTATTAAGATGATATCCAAGCAGTGTAAAATGCTGCTTAGAAGCACTTAAATACATACGAAAGGATGTAATTTCCCCTTGTTTTGTCTTTTTACTAAAAAATGGAAGCCGTTTTCTTTTTTAAACCTTCTGAAGTTTTGTTAAACAAACCTAGTGTCTAGCAGCATAAAAAGCTGTTGACAGATGTTAAGCTGTTTCTGAGAAGCTTCCAGAAAATGGGCCCAACAGAAAAGCTTAGGTAGAAATGAAGTTCTGTTACAGCCACAATAAAACTAAGACCTGTAATTACAGCCTACAGGACCCATTACAAGTCTGTGCTTACCAAGTTAAAACTTCCCAACTTTGAAAAGTTTCTCTTGAGATAAGCAGGTTGTGGGGTTTTTTGGTGCACTGAACGCACTTGCTAGATTTCAATCACCCTAACGAAACAATGCTTGAAATAGGTTCAGTGTGGCTCCAGAAATGCTTCTGCACTTGTGAGCCAAACCCATTACTCAAGTTTGGGTCTAGGCCAGTTTGTGTCAGGTGCGCTGAAAAGTGAGGCACTGGCAGCACATGCTTGGCAGCCAGGTTCACCAGGGTATGTAATACAGAATTTTACCACCTGATTTCCTGCAGAAGCCAAACCATTCCCGATACAGCCAACCCAACAACACCGGTGCTCAGCATATACAGTCGTGATACATATTTGGTATTCTCTAGTTTGGAGAACATGTCTGTACTGGGATTTCTTCCCAGGATGCCAACAGAATGCTAGAGCCACATAACAGAAAAACACCGATGTAGATAATACAGATTTCTGTCTTGCTAGCCCTATTAGCCACTTTACATAAAGCCCTTGTAAATTATTTTTCTTTCTTATTGGGACAGTGCAGCTAAAATATTCTGAAGTTTTAAAACCTGGGTAGGTTTTTCATATCAGGAAACAAGCAGAAAACTGCTAAAAATAGGAGCTTGAAATGCTTGCCCCATACAAGTAATTTGATTAAAACCTAGTTACTTAAAATGCAGATTTCACACTATCCAAGAGGCAAATTCTGTATAAATTACAAAAATAATAATAATAAAGTGGTGATAAGTTAAACTTTAGGCTGGTTAAAGTAATGAATACATACATATTTTTGCTAAAGATTTTACCAACCTTTGGGTTTTTAAAAGCCAATGTTCCAACCACCAGATAAAGGGGGGGGGGAAGGAATACTGGAAATGTGTACCTTTGAAATACAGAAATGGAGAGAAAAGTGGCTGAAATTAAATAGAGTATACGGAAGAAAAAAAAATAACCACAAACAAAACGAACCACATGATCTGCAGTTGTATCTAACCTGATCTACAACACGGGTCAATTATTTTTGTATAAACTACTGGTTTTCATGAGGAAAATAAGTCTCCAAAAATGATCAGTGCAAAGGCTGCTACCACAGTAAATGAGATACGCCTGTTTCACACTGCATAGCTATCTCACCAGATTTTCCAGTCTGTGGTTGAAATTGCTATTAAAAGTTTCCAACAAAACAGACAGAATGCATACCAGCTCTTCCAAATGGACTCTCCTCAGAAAGGAAAAACAGTCAAGTAGTTATAATCTTCAGGTTTATAGCCTTATATTTTGAGTCACTCATCTGAGTTGTCCATAAAGTACACCCCTTCACCTCTTGACACCACAATCCCCCACTCGTGGCCCATAAAAATCAATAATAAAAATTGAATTAGGATCTTCAAATCCAAAAAAGCCACTCTAAAATACAAATTCAAGGCAAGCCTTATGCCATAAATATGTATCCAAATTACTTCGATTGGTGCAAAGTATTATTCTATTATTTGTTTCTATAATCCATACAATATTTTAGGTACATAAAAGTGCAGAGTGTAAGTTTGACTTGGATGTAAAATATATTCTGCTTATCTTGGAATTCAAGATTGTATATGTCATGTTTATTGTAAAGCATTTTATATATACATATTCACATACCTTATACAACTCTATGGGCCAAAAACTGGTCCCACCAACTTCACTGGGACCAAGAAGCAGCCCCCATATGTGCGTATATATGCCATATGCATCATTCTGAAAGGAAGCACTAGATTGTGTGAAAATGCTGTGACTGCTATGCAGTGATGCCAAGAGACTTAACTGTATCTTTTTTAACATACTGCTGTAAGTATTCATCATGTTGAAGAATGACAACTAATAAAAACGAAAAAAAAAAAAAAAAAAAAAAAAAAAAGAAGAATGAAGTGTCCAGAGTTCTTTGGTAGAAGCAGTTGACTGAAAGAATCTCCTTAGTTTGCAGAAGACATTCTGGCTTGACAATGCAGCAAAAGTCCTGCTGCATCCATCCTGCCACCATTGTGCCTTCCTAACAACAGGATAATCACTTTCCTAGTGCGCTGTTTCCCAGAAGAATTTTTTTCTAAATTTATACCCTTAGCCTTGCTGCAGGAATTTAAATGGAGTTACCAGCAAGGAAAGTATTTCCGTATATTTCTGCTTATGCATGTAGTAGAAGGATTCTCAAAACCCCAGGGAAAATGTTTCCCTGTTGAAATATTTAAAGAGGCAGTTCTCTTTTACTATTATTTCAGTTCCTGTAACTAGTTCTTCTTAATATCATCAATAAGTTTTAATCTCCATTTTCTTGTTTCCCAGTTGCAGATCATGTTATATATATGTACAACATGACAGAAACTTGCAAAGTTTAAATAAAAACATGGGAAGTATTGACATTCTACACTGGTAAGTATTTTGTATTTCTAAATGAGAAACAGTTGTCATTGCTGATGGAAGACTGGCACTGTGGGGACTTTTCTTCACTTTGATACATTTCTAAAGCCGGAATTTTTTTGTACCTCAAATTATTCAGTAACAACTCTCACATATTTTGTGTAGTGAAAATAATACAATTGAACAGAATATGGAAGCTGGAAATACATTTTGTTTCAGTGTTAACTTAGCCAACATTTTAAATTTACTTTCTTAAAACCATCCTTCAGAATCAGAGTAAGAAGTGGGTTTTGTGTGTTCATCGGTTGCAAGCTGAATCGCAGAATGGATCCCAGAATGAAGGTCCTAAAAATGGATGGAGGTTGTGATGGGTTCTCCAGGAGTTTTACATAGTCAGCATTGGAAAACCATTCGCAATTTTCCACAACGGAACTAGGGTTATTTTCAAGTACACCTGAGTAACTCAGCCGAGGTGAGGAGATGCCGCAGACACCTGACTCACAGGGGGCGGCGCCAGGAGAAACGCCGGCAGATTCAAGCCAGTCATCGTTAGCCACTAACTGTCGTTTGCCAAAGTGAGCAGCTCCAGAGAAGAGCCTCCCCCCCGGAGCGAGGGGAAACACGACCTCCAGGAGCCCCAGTTCTGAGCAGCGACAGCCACCGAGGGAGCCTCGAGCCCCCGATAGGCCTTGCCCAGGAGCCGGCAGCTCAGCTGAGGAGAGCAGGGACACACAGGGGGCCGTGCCAGGAGGGACGGCCCCGGCCTGAGCGGCGAAAGCCCGCCCTAGGGAGCGCGGGAACAGCGCGTGGTGCGGCGGTTGGCGCCGGCAGCGTGAGCGGGATGGGGAGCGCTCTCCTCAGGCCCGGTCCCGGTCTGGGAGCTCCGCTCTGGCTGCCCCGGCGGTGGCAGCGTCGGCACCAGACAGAGCCGGTAAGAGGGAAGGCTGCAGCGCAGAGCTGAGGGTGCAGAAAGTGCCTGCACTGGTCTGGTGAGGCGGGGGTGCCCAACGGGCAGGGCTGCACTCGGAGCACCCTGGTGGAGGTGCTCCTGCAGCAGGGGCTGAGCTGCGGGACCCTGTCAGTAGCTGAAAGATGTCAGGGGAGCCGAGGCAGCTGGGCTGCTTGCGCCAGGCGTGAGCAGTACAGGGGCCACAAGCGTCCACCATAGCACGTACAGAAAAGAAGGAGGGCATTAACCCAGGAAGCTGGGAGCCAGTAACAACAACAACAAAAAAAACAAAACAAGAAAAAACAACCACCGACCCAACAGAAAAAAAAAACAAGGAATAGGTGATTGTTCTGCTGTAATCAGTGCTGGTGGAGGCTCACTTTGAGTACTGGGTGCAGTTCTAAGTGCCACCATTCAAGAAGAACATGAAGGCCCTTGAATGCCTCCAGAGGAGGGCAACAAAGCTGGAAGGCATGTCCTGTGAGCAGCGGCTGAGGACTCTGTCTAGTTCAGAGAAAAGAAGACCGAGGGGTGACCTCTTTGCTCTCTCAACCAAAAAATGGAACAAGCTTACTAGAGAGGTGAGCAATACACTCAGTGCACCCTGGTAGAGGTCCTCCTGCAGCAGAGGCTGAGCTGCAGGACACAGTCATAGCTGAAAGATGTCAGGGAAGCTGAGAGGTAGCTGGACTGCTTGCTCCAGGCCCAAACTGTGCAGGGGCCATAGGCGTCCACCATAGCGCATACAGAAAAGATGGAGGACATTAATCCAGGAAGCTGGGTACTGGGAAGAAAAAAAGAAAAAAAACACCAAAATAAAGAACAAAACCAACCAACCACAACAACAACAAACCAATAAAAAAGGAAAAAAAAAAAATAAAGGAGGAAGACGACAATTGAAAGCAAGTAACTTCCTCCAATATCTCATGTCGCCACCCATAACAGGTTTGCAGTTCTGCAGGGGACTTAATGAAGAAACGCACACCTCACCAAATGGACATCCTGCTGATTTGCCAGTAAAGAGGATCATTGCTGCTGCTGCCAGGAAAAAATAGCTGGTCATAGTAGAAGGTGACTACTTTGATGGGCACAGAGGCACCCATCTGTTGGCCTGACCCAGTCTCAAGGGGCATGTGTTGCCTACTAGGGCCTTGGATCAGGAATGTTGCTGTGAGGCTGCCTGATCTAATAAGTCCCACTGACTTACCCACTTCTAGTGGTCCATGTGAGCACTAGTGATACTAACAGCAGTAGCCTGGAGAACATTAAGAAGGACTACAGAGCCCTGGGAGAGGTGGGGAGCTTACAGAGCCTCTGTAGGGGCTCTGAGGCTCAGATAGATTTTTTCATCAATCCTCCAGGTCAAAGGGGGGAACCTTAAAAAGGCTAGGCAGATTTGGCAGGTTAATAAATGGTTAGAACAGTGGTGCCAAAGTCAGGGGTTTGGTTATTTAGAACATGGGACTTGATTTGGGAGGCCAGGTCAGGTCTACTGGAGGCTGGTGAAGCCAGTGCGCTGCTTTGGCAGGAGGCTTGCCAGACTGGTTGAGTCAGCTTTAAACTAGATGTCTTGGGGGAGGGGTGCATCATTCCATCCCAGAACTCCCAGTCAGTTGGCAGCACCTGTAGTAAATGCTTGGAGTGATGCAGAGGTATTTCAGCCACTCCAGCCAATGAGTTGACTTCATTTGGAGCTCAGCTCAGATGCCTCTCTACAAATGCCCATAGTATGGTGAATAAACAAGAAGAATTAGAGATGTGTGCACATCTATGGGCATTTGATATCATTGGCATCACAGAAATATGGTGGGATGCCTTCTATGACTGGAGTGTTGGAATGGAAGGTTATAGGGTTCTTAGGAAAGACAGGACAGGACAGGGAAGGGGAGTAGCTATTTATGTTAGTGATAGTCTGGAGAGCATGAAACTTTGTCTGGAGACAGGTCAACAGAGAGCTTGTGGGTCAGGGTCAGGGTGAGAACAGTGATGGGTGACATTACTGTAGGGATCTGTAATAGATCACTCGATCAGGACTGTGTGGATGAAGTGCTCTATAGGCAGATAGGAGCAGCCTTACGCTAGCAGGCTCTTGTCGTCATGGGGTACTTCAACCATCCTGATACCTGTTGGAGGGATGGTACAGCACGGCACAAGCAATCCAGGAGGTTCTTCAGTTGTGTGGAGGACAACGTGCTCTTGCAAGTAGTAGAGGAGCCAACAAGGAGAGGTGCCATGCTTGATCTCGTGCTCACCAACAGGGAGGGTCTGATTGGGTATGTGACACTACAGGGCGGCCTTGACTCTAGCAATCATGAGGTGGTCGAGTTCGAGATTGTCAGGACAGTGAGAAGAGTGTGCAGCAAGCTCACTGCACTGGCCTTCAGGACAGCAGACTTTGGCTTCTTCAGGAACATGCTTGGTAAGGTTCCATGGATAAAGCCCTAGAGGGCAGGGGGACCCAAGACCGCTGGTTGAAGGAAGAGCTTCTATAAGTATGTAGCAAACAAGATACAGACTAAGGACAATGTGGGCCCTCTCTGAAAGCTATCAGGAGAACTGGCTACCCTGGATATGGAGAAGACTGAGATTCTCAATGACTTCTTTGCCTCAGTCTTCACTGGCAAATGCTCTTACCACACCATCCAGGTCTTGGAAAGCATATGCAGGGACTGTGAAAATAAGACCTTAGTACCACTGTAGGAGAGAATCAGGTTTGAGATCATCTTAAGAACCTGAATGTGCACAAGTCCATGGGACCTGATGAAATCCATCCATGGGTCCTGAAGGAGATGTTGAATGAAGTTGCTAAGCCACTGTTCATCATATTTGGAAAATCATGGCAGTCAGGTGAAGTTCCCAATGACTGGAAAAAGGGAAATATAACCCCCATTTTCAAGAAGGGGAAAATGGGTGACCTGGGGAACTACAGACCAGTCAGCCTCACCTCTGTGCCTGGCAAAATCCTGGAGCAGATTCTCCTGGAAAGCATGCTAAGGCACATGAAAAACAACGAGGTGGTTGGTGACAGCCAGCATGGCTTCACTAAGGGGAAATCCTGCCTGACCAATTTGGTGGCCTTCTATGACGGGGCTACGGAACTGATGGATAGGGACAAAGCAATTGACATCAACTACCAGGACTTGGGTGAAGTGTTCGACACTGTCCCACACAACACCGTTGTCTCTAAATTGGAGCGACATCAATTTGATGGATGAACCACTCGGTGCATAAAGAACTGGCTGGATGGCTGCACGCAAAGAGTTGCGGTCAATGGCTCAATGTCCAGCTGGAGACCAGTAACAAGTGGCGTCCCTCAGGGGTCAGTGTTGGGACCAGTCCTGTTCAACATCTTCGTCTGTGACATGGGCAGTGGGATTGAGAGTGCCCTCAGCAAGTTTGCCAACGACACTAAGTGACGTGGTTCAGTTGATACACTGAAGGGACGGGATGCCATCCAGAGGGACCTTCACATGCTTGTGAGGTGGGCTGATGCCAACCTCATGAAGTTTAACCATGTCAAGTGCAAGGTCCTACACCTGGGTCGAAGCAATCCCAGGCAC